TTATAATTTATTATTATATTAATAAATTACGTAATACTGTCGGGGTTGACCACCCTCAAGCTGATTGGAGACTGATAAAAGTCGGGAAACGCCTGTCTGTCCATTTTCTTAATTTATTTTATAACTAAATTATTAATTAGTTCCACACTAAGTAGATTAAAATCATTTTTGTCCTTTAATTTCTCACTGTTATAAATTTAGCATCTAAGCCTTTTAAAAGTTTAGAGTTTAAATTTTTTAGGGTTTGATTTTTTTGTGTCAGGGTTTAAATTTAGCTGTGCTTAGAATGTTAGAGTCTAAATTTTTTTTATCACTTAATTTTTAAGGAAGTTAAAGTTTAAATTTTTTAGAATTCGGGGTGTTATGGTTTGGGATTAGTTTTTATTAAGATTTAGCATTTAAGGTATTAGGTTTTAGATTCTTTTAAGATTCAATATTTGATATTTAAAGTTTTTTTTTTTTGACATTAGGAAATTGTTAGGTAAGTATTAGTATCTGTTCTGCTGTGGCAATGTCGAACCTCAGAAGTGAGTGCAGTCCACCTGCCGCCTAAGGGGTAGCGTGGCCACCATTGGGCCACATGGGGGTCTGCTTAATATTTAAAGTTTAGTTAATTAAGACATAAGATTTAACAAGGTTAAATGTTAATTTTGATCTCTTAACTTTATAGAGTTGCACTTTTTTGATCCCTCAACTATTTTTTGCACTTTTTTTATCCATCAACTCTAAAAACTACATAATTCTAATTCTTCTGTCAGTTAAGTATAACGTGGTTGTTAAATAATTTCATATGATATTTTCTTTTAGTTCTTTTGATTACATGACAATATCATATCTTATAATTATATTACATAGATAAATAAAAATGCTACATCAAATCAATATTTATATTTTAATAAAATGAAATAAAAACAAACAAAATTACCTTATTACCCTCACCCTCTCAATCCATCTTCTTCCTTTTCTTTCTTTCTTGCCCACTGGACCTAGATAGAACCAGCAGCTGGGTTCGATGGAACCCAGATCGGCTGGGTTCGAAGAAACTAGCTGCTGGGTTTAGAGTTAGGTTCTATTGGTTTTCATTCTTCTTTAGAGCTGGGTTTGTCAAGTTCACCATGTTTTTTCATTCTTCTTTTGATTCCCATTCTCAGTTCTTCATAAATTTAAGAGTTGATTTACAATTTGATTGTATTTTTTTTGGAATTTGATTAGGGTTTGATTGACATTGTTTATTGAGGAGTTAATTTGTGGAGTGGAGATAAGAGAGTATTCTAAGGTTCATACACATTTTACCCCTTTATTGGTTCTTTGCAAAAAATGTGGGACCCATTTGAAGGGTTTTGACACGTTTGATTTGCATGAATATGACATGGTATAATATTTTGTCCATATCAACATATTTTTAGGTTGTCTTCTCTATGTCATAAAAAAAAAAAATGCCATGTGTATGGAGTTAACGATTCAAACTGATAGAAGGATCAAAATTGTGCAATTGTTAGAATTGAGGAATTAAAAAAGTGCAAAAATAGTTGAGAGACCAAAAAAGTGCAACTTTATAAAGTTGAGGGACCAAAATTAACATTTAACCATTTAATAATTTCAATATTAATAATTGAAAGATCTAAAAATAAAAAAATAGAATATGAAAACTAAAAAAATATAAAAGTTATAAGGACAAGTGACCTATTAGTTGATCGTACTTTATAACATTACTCAAATAAATTATAAAAATTTGTTAATCATATATCTCTCTATATTGATGAATTATTTGATATTATTCTCTCTCTCCCTTATTATCCTTTCCTTAATTGCCTCATACTTTTATATTTTTACATATATATTATATTTTTCTCAATTTCTTACATTAAGAACGTACCTATGTCCATATTTTTCTATGAAGCACATTCAATTCTTTAGTTTGTTTTGTCATCATACACATATTATTATTATGCATTTTAATTTAGGCTTAACTTAGTGTATGTGTCTTGTTGTACTTATGATTTTGATAATTACAAAACACATTTGAGTAATTAATTTGTTCATTTAAGTGTGTAGTTAAACTCCTAAAAGATTGCAAAGGTAAGTGAACTTGGGTTGTACTAAAAATAGCCAAAAAGCCTGAAAATAGTGCAGAGAGTTGGCTCTAGAAATTTGCTACCAATTCTAGTGAAAAAAGTGCAAAGAATCGACTTTAAACACTACAACCAGCTTTATGGGTGAAAGATTTAAACCTGTAGTTTGGCACGAGTGGAAAACAGATGCAAAGTCGGCTATAACTTTACAGCTGGCTGTGATGGCACATTTAATGCTCCACGGTTAATTTATTTAAAGAATATTTTAATCTTTTGAAGTCAGGTTTCTTAAGCTGGCTTGACGTTTTGCAATTGGTTCTTCAGGAAAATAGAATGTGCATGAGGACCACAAAGTTGACTCTAGAATTCAAAGCCAACTCCGCAAAGCTGGCTTTGGAGGTAGAGCCCATTTTACTGACAAATCTACAAGTCAAACTTAATTGATTTGCAAAGCATTTATTGAACCCCAATGACTAGAAACGACTATTTTCGATCAAGGGGGTATAAATACGATTGCTAAAAGATTTGAAATAAGTTTTTGAGTATTGTATTGAATATCTTCACCTACCAACCTGTGCTTTAACTTGAAATTTTGATCTTTGAGTGATCTTTACTTGTAATCCTCCTTTTGTTTTATTTGTAAGTTATCTTGAGGGTGTGATTATTTTTTCAAGAGTGATCTATACTGAGGATTCATGGGTTTATTTTGTAAAAGGGTGAGATTTAAGAGAAATATGTTTTTCTTGTAAAAGGATTGAGTGGCTCCTTTAAGCCACCGTTGACTTTTTTAGTGGAAAGTGTGGAGGAAATCCTCAATAAGTGAAGTCAAGATCAAAAACTACGCTTCAAGTGGTTAAATCGAACATTTATAAAATTATTGTGGAAGCTCTTCTTCTATACTCTCTTTAATTTTTGGTTTGTGCTTACAAAAAGAAGGAAATTTTTGAACTCTAATTCACCTCTCTCTTGGAATGCATTGAACCAACATATCTCTCATTATTTCTCTTTCTTAAATTGATACTTTTCACATTATTTTATATTTTTATTATTTTTTTGTGTCTATTTCACCTTTACTTTCTCATATTATCTTAGTATGTATGTGTGTATATATATATATATATATATATCTTTTTAAATCCCTCTTGATATTAGTAATTTACTTTTTAATAGCTCTTTATCCCTTGTCAACCCCTCTCTCTTGTTCTTTCTTAATATTTTGTTGCATATATATCTTTCTATCATTATATATCCTTTTTACCTAATTTGTCTTCCTCTCCCTCCCTTTACATATTAGAAATGTTTTTAACTCAAAACATAAAAGGCCAAACTTAGCATTATTTTATTGGTATTTAATCTTTTGCTTACTTTTGGAAAATTATTGCTA